CCTGAAAATGTTACGACCACGACCGTCGTCGACACCTCGGCCCTTCCCCAGGAACGGAACAATCTCGCGCGAGAAATACGGAAATGTAACGTGATTCTTCTGGTATATTCCGACCACTATAGCTATGAGCGAGTCGCCTTGTTCTGGTTGCCCTATTTCCGCTCGTTGGGCGTCAATGTCCCGGTTGTCCTGTGTGCCAACAAGGCCGACCTGGCGACTGGTCATAGTGAAACGCGAGTGGTTGAGGAGGAGATGCTTCCTTTGATGGCAGAGTTTAAGGAAATCGACTCATGTATACGTACGAGTGCCCGGGAGCATCGTAATGTCAACGAAGCGTTCTTCGTTTGCCAAAAGGCTGTCACGCACCCGATCGCGCCGCTGTTCGATTCGAAGGAGGCGGCTCTGAAGCCCGCTGCAGTAGCAGCTCTACAAAGGATATTCTATCTCTCCGACAAAGATCGCGATGGATATCTATCAGACAAGGAGCTCCAGGATTTTCAAACCCGCTGCTTTAACAAACCATTGAACGAAGCGGATCTCAATCACATCAAGGACACCATTCAGAAAGCCTATCCTGACTCAGTTACGGAGTCCGGCATTGACTGCCAAGGGTTTATTCATCTGAACAAATTGTACTCGGAGAAAGGGCGACATGAAACAGTTTGGATCATCTTGCGAGCGTTCCAGTACACGGACAATCTCTCCTTGCAGGAGAAATTCTTGCATCCAAAGTTCGAAGTACCGCCGTTCGCCTCTGCCGAACTTTCGCCCGAAGGATATCGATTCTTTGTGAACCTCTTTCTTTTATCCGACAAGGACAATGACGGGGGCTTGAATGAGGCTGAACTTGCATCCTTGTTTGCCCCCACCCCGGGCTTGCCCGCATCATGGGCCGACGGTTCGTTCCCATCCTCTACAGTCCGCAATGAAGCAGGACATGTAACACTGCAAGGCTGGCTTGCTCAGTGGAGCATGACTACTTTCCTGTCTCCTAAAACTACCCTCGAATACTTGGCATACCTGGGCTTTGAGCCCTCCGACCAAAGTGATCAGTCTATTACTGCAGCGTTGAAGGTCACACGGCCACGAAGAAAACGTCGCCGCCCCGGCCGTGTTGGACGAAATGTTGTCCAATGCCACGTTCTGGGAGCCCCTGGATCCGGAAAATCGGCCTTGCTCGATGCACTTCTTTCCCGTGGATTCAGCACGACCTACCACCCTACCATCCAGCCCCGTACCGCAGTGAATACAGTGGAGCTTCCGGGCGGGAAACAGTGCTACCTGATTTTGGATGAACTAGGTGAGCTCGAGCCTGCTTTGCTGGAGAACCAGACCAAACTGCTGGATCAGTGTGACGTGATTGCGTACACGTATGATTCCTCGGACCCGGACTCATTTTCGTACATTCCTGCATTGTTGGCGAAATATCCCCATCTGGAAGAGCTCCCGAGTGTGTTCATTGCGCTCAAGGCCGATCTGGATCGGACCACCCAGCGAGCCGAGCACCAACCTCATGAATACACAGCTATGCTAAACATGCCTAGTCCACCGCTCCATGTGAGTGTTACGTGGAATTCTATCCAGGAGGTGTTTGTCCATATTGCCGAGGCTGCCATGGAGCCTAGCACCGCTTTCCCGCGTAGTGAAGAGGATGTGGAGGGCAAATGGATGTCTTGGGGAATCGCCCTCGGGGCGGTGGTTTGTGCCGGTGCCGCCGCGGTGATGATCTGGCGCCGAGTTGGTAGCGGAAATTAGGGTCTTCGTTCATATTCTATACCCCATAGTTCAATGTGCAAATAAATGTATAAGGATCTCAAGAGTTAGTTAGTTACCTAGTTATGTACCTCAATTGACTATGATACTTAGTCAGGCACATGGCCGGCTCAGCCGGAGTTAAGCCGGTCCCCGCCAGGCACGCGGTCTCTTCTCCGCTCGAACGTTTACCCCAGACATCATTTCCCTTGCTGATCCTCCCCTCTCGCGCCTCAACTTGTATTTTTGAAATCCCCAAACCTCCGAACATCGAGCCTGATCTCAGTATACACATCTGATCGAGTGCATATATACATTTGTGATTGTCGGACCTATTGCGCACCCATATCGCCCCCCTGCCATATTCTGAAACCTGTCCATCACACATAAGAGCTTGCAGATATAAGACTGGAAGAGGAAAGTTTGAATAAAGTACATCGCAGACTTGGCACCTTTTTTTGCACTTGCCTTATCGGGTCCAAGGTTGCTCTGTTTGTCACACCAGACCTCAGCCCGAGTTCAAATTGCGCCTGTTCCCTGTACGAGTGACGACTAATCATGTTGTAAGCACGCTCTTTCTTTCCTTTCCTACTTCTCCCAATCTGCTGCTTTCACTCTACAAGCTCAGCCTTGTGTCCTTACTATTACCAACGTAATTCGAGAGAATTGCATAACTCTTGAGGCACCAGATAACCACAACACTTGCTGACACCAGCAACAGCGTGCTTCCCCCTCCTCCTCCACGCTATACCATCCCTGTCGCATATGCGGCGGGGGCGGCAAATGGTATGGCGGTCCCTGTTCTGGAAATGAATAATACTATCACCCACCCGGAGCGTGGCTGTCCACTGCAAGTTGGCGAGGGTATGTGCGCTCCACGATCGCTGGTGTTTCCTAAATGTCCTGCTTCCTTCAGAATATCAGAGATGTCTTACATTTTATATTGCGATAGGAACCTACACCCTCCAGGATGATTTACTCCTCGCAACACCGCCTCCCCACCCGTCTGAAGCTCCTATCATCAACCCAAACCCTCTTGCAACTCTACCCACACCCCCTACCACTGGCGTAAAGCTATCTCTTGTTACCCTCGACCCTCGAAAGAAGCCTCCGACTTTCTTGAAGTCAGGTATCACAGTTCCCCAATTTGGAGATGAAAACCCAGCGCTTGCGGCGCCACCGGTGGCAGCGAAGGACGCAGCGAAGCGAAGGAAGCCCAAGAACAACATCATCAAGAGCAGTTCTTCCTTCGTTTCGCGAGTCATTACACACGAGACATCTGCCAAGCGATTGAGCGACCGTGACCCGAACGGTGTGTTTGCCTTTGCGAATATCAACCGAGCATTCCAATGGCTCGACCTCAGTTCGCCTACGAAAGAGGAGCATCTCACCAAAGTTCTCTTCACGAAGGCGCATATGCTCTGTCACGACATCAACGAACTCACGAAGACATCATCACATTTAGACATTGTGATGGGATCCTCGGCGGGCGACATCATTTGGTATGAGCCCATGTCGCAGAAGTACGCTCGGATCAACAAGAATGGTGTGATCAATAACTCACCAGTCACCCACATAAAATGGCTTCCTGGGTCTGAGAACCTGTTCTTAGCGTCGCACGCCAACGGTGTGCTGGTTGTGTACGACAAAGAGAAGGAGGATGCCCTTTTCACTCCCGAGGTGAACGACCATTCCGAACAAGAAATTGGACGATTGCCATTGGACATCCTTAAATCTGTGAACTCCAAGAACCAGAAGACCAATCCGGTCTCCTTTTGGAAAATGGCAAACCAGAAAGTTTCAAGCTTCTCCTTTTCCCCTGATCAAAGGCATCTGGCCGTGGTTCTCGAAGATGGGTCGCTACGACTGATGGATTTCTTGAAAGAGGAGTATGTTTGTCCTATGTTAAGAGGACCGAACGATTACTAAATAACGCTTCTAGGGTACTGGATATATTCCGCAGCTACTATGGCGGCCTGATCTGTGTCTGCTGGTCGCCGGATGGCAAATACATCGTAACCGGAGGCCAGGATGATTTACTGACGATTTGGTCCTTCCCCGAGCGCAAGGTTGTTGCTAGATGCCAAGGACACAACTCCTGGGTTTCGTGGGTTGCATTCGACCCTTGGCGTTGTGACCAGAAGACATACCGGTTCGGCAGCGTCGGTGACGATTGCCGCCTCCTCTTGTGGGACTTCAGCGTTGGAATGCTCCACCGTCCCCGGGCACACCATGCCTCAAGTAGAAATCGATCCAGCATTGTAGTGCCAAATTCTCAAATTGCTAATCGCCACCGTGCAGACAGCGGCGACAACCGTGTGCGTTCGGACTCAAATGAAACCGACAAGTTCAACGAAGATCTCGATCAGACGACGAGTCATCCCGTGGAACCCAAGTCCCGCACAGCGCTTTTGCCCCCGATTATGGTAAGCATTCATTGACAGCCAGATTGCCTGCTACAGAAGACTAACTGATCCATAGTCCAAAATCGTCGGCGAAGATCCTATCTGCTGGCTTGGCTTCCAGAAAGACTGCATCATGACTTCGTCTCTTGAAGGTGTGTATAATGAGGTTGATTGGGGCTAAATAATACTGACATTTTGACACAGGCCATATCCGCACTTGGGATCGACCCAGCGACAGCGTCATCAAATCATGATGCTCCATTTGGGGTTTACGGTCTTGGAAGCCTTGGGGGTTACCAATCGAGATTTCAGTCTTTTAGCGTCGCGTTTTCTACTCCTAACACATGATATTTTTTTGATGTCAATATTACCTTACCAATCTAAATCTGTACATACTGATTGTTTGTAAGGGCTGTTCTATATGTCATTCTAGAAACCAATCGACGGCACACTTAACTCGAGGTTCTCGGTTTTCACTACTAACACCGTGACCTAACCATCTCTTTTTCTTTCCTATCTGGCAACAGAATTTAATGAGAATAGAGTAATGGTTAACTCAAAGATTTGATTGATAGATAATTCCAAAATTATGAAGCAGGCATAGCATCATCGCATTTCTCATTAATGTAAGGGGCATAATCATAGGTCCATAGACCAAATCATCAACATCAAGCAAAATAAATGATCCCTAGTAAACTAGCCCAAATTCCACAATGTCTTCAACATATAGTAGACTTTGTCCAAAAGACTACCCCAAATACCCCAGAACTCTCCAACTCATATATCTAAGTTCCCGGATATCCAGCTGGCCAGTTGGGATGAAGAATAACCGACATCGGGGATTTAAAAGACCAGCGCAAACAGACCCAGAAGCAGACTGCCAGCAGGGGGCATGAGAATGGCAGCAGCGTTCGAGGTGGTACTTGCCGACTCCGTAGCACTCGATGTTGTGGTCGAAGTAGTCTTGTGAGTGGTGGTCGAAGTAGTGCTCGAATGGGTTGCGGTGGACAGACTGCTCGAGGTGATGGTTGAAGATGAGGTCCATTCTATGGATAAGTCAGTCCCTGTTTCTTTCATGTAGTGGATGAAAAGCAAAATGCTGTCTCAGAAGCTACGCTTTCCGCCTTTACTAACCAGGGGTAGTGGATGTGTGGGTAGAAAGATATGTGGTAGATGAGATAGTGCTTGATGTGATGAAAGTCGAGGTAGGAAGATGTGTGGATGTAGTAGGTGGGATGGAAGACGTGGTAATGGAAATAGAAGTAGTCGGGGTAGTAAAGGTAGATATAATGGAGGATGGAGTTGGTGTAATAGAAGAAGAAGTTGAAAGTGTAGAGGTATAGGAAACCGAGGAAGAAGTTGCAAGTGTAGAAATAGAAGTAACTGAGGAAGAAGTGAGGGTGGTAAGCGTCAAGGTAGTAGTCAAGGTCTCGGTGTAAGAAGTTGTAACTGTCAAAGTTGAGGGTGTTGAGGGGAAATAAGAGGATCCTTCAGGGGTGGAAGTATAGGTTGAAGTAATAGAAGAATAAACGAAAGAGGTAGACGCACTTGCAGAAGAGCTAGTTATAAAAGAAGATGTTGTAGGGGTAGAAATAGAAGATGAAGCAGTAGAGTAATAGGACGAGGTAGGGCTAGACGCACTGATGGAGGTGTGAGTAGCAGTCGAAGACAGGTAAGAGGAAGTAGTCGAGGAAGAAGGAGTCGAAGAAGTAAGATCACTGGTCCACGCGGTGGAAGAAATCAAGGACGAGGCAGACGAAGTTTCAAGCGCAGTACTGGTTTCCTTACCAGAGCTACTAGCACTACTAGCAATTTCACCAGGCTCAGTGACTAGGAATTGCTGAGACTGAGCCAGAATGCCGCTAGTCGGAGAGAGGAAGTTGATCTGATATCCCTTCCTAGATTGCGTATCAGCCATTAATTCAAATAGAATGCAATCAAATTGGACCTACCCATCATCTACATCCGCGAACGTCTTTGCTTTGACGGTGTAGGAGCCCTTGGAAGAGTCTACATCCTCAGCCACAATTGTTGTTGTCGGGGGGTAGACATTCTGATTGACCAGTTCGATGGTAAAGGTTTGCGGATCCGTTCTATTGATATTGTATTTCTGGTTAGCAAATTGTCAGTGTTCGTAAAACACTGGGGCAACTAGCAGCTTACGAGACGGACTGCCACTTGATAGTAAGAGGCAGATCTGGGTCAATCTTCTCACCAATCCGGGGGAAGTGACAGTGAGACCTGATTCAACGGTTACTATATTGATTGTATTCCCGCGGACGATATGTCATACCTGCAGATGTAGCAGCCAGAGCCGCCAGGGAGATAATGTTCATCCGCATATTGATTGGCTTCAATAATAACCAATATGAAGTGAAGTATTTCAAGGAAATAGTTGTCAATCTTGGAAGGTCGGGCCGAAATATAATATTCGTGAGGTTGGAGGAAGTCAAGGCCAGGGGGGATATAAGACGGGAACATGATACTTTATAGCCCCAATGACGGTGGTAGGAGGCTGTATCTCTCACAGGGTCTTCTAAAATTTGAATGGCAATCTTTATTTTTGGACTGATTTGCCGTCTTGATCCATCACGCATCGTGCTCCCAGGTGTGTGTCAGAGTACAGAATAGTTAGGTGACGACCACACTTTCTTGTCCCCGTGATGTGAATCTACTAGTGCGTTGTAGTCAAATGGATCTAGAGGATTAAATGTGCATTCTGTAGCTTGCAACTTCATTTTCAGCCCATATGAGAATTTTTCGTCGACTCAATCCATGATGTACAACGTCTGGAAATTTTGACCGGCCGCGCGTCATAGTTTTTGTCCGTATCGCAATGGAAAGATAGATTTCATAATACATTACTTGTTCATATAACTACTTAGCGCAGCCATAGTCATTGGCTAGGGCACGGGACCCCTAGGATGACTGCTGCGGCCCGTTTAGATTCGATACCGAATGGCAGGGATTCATGGGATAATTGCTCTTTTCAAAAGTCTTGAGTGCCGATAATGCACTAGAAGGTCTTATAGCTATAAAATGCCCTGGGAGATTGTATGTATCAAATATCGTAGATCGATTGGGCTTACATGGAACTATATATTCAGACCTGTCAACACATACCGAAAGCTTATTCGAGGCCACCACTTTATGGTCATTGAGTCTTATTAAATCGATAACTTATTAGACGTGGGACAATAACTCCGAAAGGTCTAGCTACATCGGAAGTATTGTGTTCTAGGTACTCTCGGTCGTTATGAGCGTAAGTAGGACAAAAAGCCAAGGGAATACGATTTTCGACCCAACTCCCGGCTCCACACACGGAAATGAGAAAAAGCCGGTAAGCAATTAACTCCTCATTTTGTTCAGATTTACTAGTCAGAAAGCAATCCCGCCTCCACAGAGGCTTTGGTATTTCAAAATGGTTGCCTAGGAGAGGTCTTGGAGTACATAAGAAGTTGCACGAAGCATGAACATAAGGTCGGAACAGCGCTTATTGGACAACTCTTGGGAGATATTAAAATAGTCCAAATGGTATCTAGGTTGCTTGTCGGAACGAATTCTTGTCTTGACTGTCGTAATAAAAGGTCCCCGTTCAGTCTTGAGTATCTATCTGTCTGTGCTCTCCGACACTTCCACCACTGTCAGGCCAAGCTACGTTTGGGTTCGCAGTGCATCTTGTATAACCCATTGATCTCGAGAGTCTCAGTCTGGTCCTTCTAGAGTTGAGAGTTGTCGTCAGCATTCTCCCAAGCCTCAAATATGACGTGGAATGTCCAAAGGGATCTAAAAGCATTATCGGTACGGAGTATAGTCATGGTAAATATTCGTCTTACGAATAGACTATGAATCATCAAGATTTTTATTGTACTCAGTGGATGATGCGGAAAGAAGTCTGCATACAATGAACAGCAAGACATAATTTCAAGCATTGTATTGATCACCTGTCACATCTAAGTAGGTAGCACGTAGAAATCCACATTCTAGATAGTCTAACTATAGCGGAAATTTTTCATGCACGATAAATGCACCTTACTTTTCCACTTCAATCCGGGGAACCTCAACGCTCAAGGACACTGCGACCACCGTCGACAGTGATCCTATTCCGCACTCGAATGTGAGCGTACGCTGTTCCGAGCTGGACAACGCGATCCGAAGCAGGCTCATCTTTGGCCCGAGTGCTGTCTGCAGAGGACGAGCCTTCTTCACTAACTGGCCGATCGGAAGAGGTGACACTTGAAGCCTCCTCATTCCCTTGGGCATTGTGCTTTGCAATGTCCAACAGCGCTGTTGGACAGAATACCAGAGCTTCACCAGTCGGCAAACGAACAATCTTGTGAAAGATCGAGGCCGCGGCGTTTGCATCAGATTTCTCAATACCAGCTCCCGCGATGTGTGACTTTATCGCCTTGAACCAAGCTGGCGACGAGAAGCGATGGATAATGGTCACATTGCACAGCTCAAGAAGTGACGGTGAAAGAGTCGGTTCCTGTGTGGCTATCAAGACGCGGGCGGCCAGATGTCGCTGCTGGCGGACGACAGATAGCAGTGTCTCCGTCAGATCTGCGGCTTCTGTCGACGTTGAGGTCATGAACTAGAATCAAATTAAGTGTCAGTATAAAAGATAATGGATGACTCAGGAAATTAGGAAGGGCCACAAACCTTGTGTGCTTCATCCAGAGCAATGATACGACCTGTGTCTCGGCGGTTCTTCAAAAACAGGGAAACGGCGATGTTGAAGAGAGCGCATGCATCTTCTTGACCAACGAACGGGCAGCTCAAATCAACTATTGTCAAACTGCCCGGAGGAAACTTCCAGACATCATCAACATCGTGTTGCTTTGACTTGTTGGGACTTGCACCAGGCACAGATCCAGGCTCAAAAAATGACTCAAGCACCTCCAAGCGCATATTCAGAGGCCCGATTTGGCCTTTCAAGAAAGTTTCACGTTGAAGAATATTTCTGAACGCACTGTAATTGAATCCGGATTTCCCCTGGTTGGCTATAGCCATGTCCCGAAGAATCTTCATCACAACCTATGTGAGTAGCTTATTAGTACGTTGTCAGCTTGGATGATAGGTGTGCTGACATACCTCAATGTAAAGAGGCTGCTCGGCTTTGTTGCCGATGCCCATCAAGGTCTTCATCATGCCGATGTTGAGATCCTTTTGTGGCAGATACAATGGCTGCACCGTCAGCATTTTGGAACCGCCTGCCAGTGTTTTGTATGCCTTTTTCATGGCAAGGTAGTTGGTCGGGGAGACCAAAACTCGGACAGGAATGCCTGAGGAGTAGAGATACGCTGCCTCGCACAACTGCGTGCTGGAAAATGCCGTGAAATTGTCATAGTGAATGACTAGTCCAGCCAGAGGTGATGCTAGCTTCCCGGCTGGGGAGGATGCAATCAATGCATTTTCCAGAAGGCAGGACAGGGTATGACTTTTACCACTTCCTTGACTCCCACAGATGAAGGCAGACCAAGGCGCTGACACGTTTGCATACACAAGATCATCTTGTGTCGGTGTGTTGCTGGACCGGTTACGCAGACCAAGCAGTCCATACTGTGGAAATGTGTCTCTTTCAAGAGCTTGCTCGCTATACAGACGGTCGGTATCCAGGACCCGACAAGCAGAGAGTGAGAATAGAGGTGCCGTTATCAGTTCCTCGTCCAAGCGGGTGTTTTCGTATGGCGATGTTTTCGAGGAACCAGTGTCCCCTTTGACAAGCTTCATATGCTCACCTATCTCCAAGGTATTCATAGAAAGTTGGAGAGACTCCATAATGTAAGCTCTTGATGGGACTTGATGGGGATAGTGGGAGCTCGCGGTGGAGGCAAGATGAAGATGATGAGGGTTGAACGAGATTCAAAAAGAGGACAGGAAACAGTTGAATTTAAATCAAAATTCTAGACAAATACAGACAAAGAATCAAGAACAAACGAGATCATATGGTCAGATAATCTAATGTCAAACATCACAGCAAACTTCTAGAATGCCTCTGCGTATGTTTGTTTTTTCTATCGCTGTATGGATTTGTAGGACTGCATTATCATGCAAATGGGTAACTCTACTATTTGCTTCATATCTCCGATACTCTGATAGTACAAGGACTCCTATTTCACCTCTGGATAAGAAATTGAGCCTAAGGATATAAATTGGAAGCCTCAAGATGATCATCACGGCCCAGGGGTGTTCCCGAAGCCACAAAAGCTTGGCAGCGGATGCATAGAAGAAAACTTGGGCACGTGACATATACGTAAGAAGACCTTGTGATTTAATATGCTTCGCTTCGCTCCGCAATCATGTTCAGGGGAGACTTCCTCATCATTTCCAAAATGCGTGTTCTCCCTAGATCGTTATGGCAAATCAGACGACCATGTTTCCTGCAAGTGCCTCTGACATTTTGTCGACTCAACCACACGATGGCTGCTGGAGAAAGAATCGAAGAACAGAGCTTACCACGGTATCATGAAAAGCATTACTACCCGGTAAAAATTGGCGAGGTGTTTAAGGACCAGTACCGGGTTATTGCAAAGCTAGGATACGGGGCGTATTCCACTGTTTGGCTTGCCTGGGATCAGAGGTTTGCAAATCCTACTTATCCTATCTGTTTCTGAATACTAGTATTCACGCACTCTTTAGGGCAGAGCAGTATACCTCACTCAAAGTATGTATTAGCCAAGATACCGACTCTTCCCCGATTCTTAACGAGATCAACATGCTGCGGCGCTTGAAGAGATTCGCGGATACCGATGAAGGCGACCATCCCGGGGTGGGGTTTACGCGTCTTGCAGACGATATCTTTGAAAATGATCAAGCGTCCCTACATGGCCGATACTACTGCATCGCTTCAAAACCTGAAGGCCAGAGTATTCGCGTGTTACAGGAGGCGTTTCCAAATAGTATCCTGCCCAAGCTTCTGGTGAAATCCATCATACACTGCTTGTGGTTTTCCGTCGACTGGCTTCATTCAGTCTGCGGTGTCATACATACTGGTACGTTCAAATGAGATAGCGGCACCTTTTGCATCTCCCGCTTACTAAACTCTGAGCAGATATTTCACCTCAAAATGTTCTGATGCAACTCGATGATGATAGCTGCCTCAAGGGCATCGAGAGCCAAGAGTCACAGGATCCTAGCGTCCCTATAATGACGACTGATGGAGCGGCTCCCGTATACAGGTCTCGACGAGCTAAGATGATGGAGCTTTTAGGTGACCCGATTCTTATTGATTTTGGGCAAATGCGGCTAGCAGAAGGACAGACTAACCAGGATTGGTGGATGTCTGATTTGTATAAAGCTCCAGAGGTCCTCTTAGGCCTGCCTTGGGAGTATCCTGTTGATGTGTTCTCTATCGGTGTCATGGTAAGTACTAGTACACCTAAACTTTGTGATACTATGTCTAACTCAGGTCCAAAACCAATCAGACACTTGAGCTCATGGAAGGGAAGAACCTATTCGACCCCATTGACCGAGTCAACAATCAGTATGTTCTTCCGTTGGCACTGGCCCAGTATATCGGATATCTGGGTCCTCCACCACTGGAGATGATTCGCAAGAGCCCATTATTTTCAGCATATTTTGATGAACAGGGTAAGTCTCCCTTGAACCCTAGGCTTCACATTTGAGCTTACCAAAGCTTTTTTATAGGCAACTGGGTGTCGGAGCCCCCCATCCCCAAAACTACTTTGGAGGAATTCGTCACTACCATCCCACCAGGAGAGGAAAAAGACCAGTTTCTCCGGTTCATACGCAAGATACTAACGTGGGATCCGGAAGTGAGGGCCGACTCGTATGAGCTCATGCAAGACGAATGGATGATGAGGCATGCTTCAGAGCAAGATCTGGTGGAATTGAAGAACCAGCTGTTTTCATAGGATGTGATCAGAATGGGCGAACAATATACGTACTGTTTATTAACAGAGCGCGTTGAGGATTGCTTTTTAATAATATCCTGGCTCAAGAATTGGAGCGCTTACATGAAATCTCTATCTAGAAGTAGTTAAATCAAAATCAAGTTTTATTATAAAACAGGACCGCCCAGCAATCAGATGCCCCGTGTTCAAAGGCTTGATTTCATTGCTCAGATGTTTTTTCTTTGGTTTTTTAATTTATCATGTCCTAATTCTGAGATCTTCATCTTCTAGGTAGAAGGTATAAAGAGGAAGAAATGACAGAAACTGGAAATATGCAAGGCAAATATGAGGTTGATAAAATGTTTGTAGAGAGAATGTGTCAACATGGTCTTTCGGTGTGGCGCAAAACAAATGTACCAGTCTGGTCAATTATTGAGTCCCAGTTCTTCCATAGTCTTCTCCAAGGTCCCCTTCATGAACTCCTTCATATCCAAATCTTCACCACAAACGGACTCACAAAGGATTTTTGAGGTGATATTGACCCCCATGTTCATCAACTTACTGATGAGTACGTTCTCTCTCCGAAGGACTGCATACCGCAGGATGGGCCCAATTTGAGTAATATCATAACCACTGGCAAGGACCAAATCAACCAGCCTCCTAGCACCACCAACGAGCGCAGCGTGGAGGGTATTGGGGATGAGATTCGACCAGCCTGCGGTGGGGATCCCTCGAACGGTCACTCCGATCTTGTGACCTTGGACCAATCTGGATCGCGTTTTCTCGGGGGGTCGTCTGGGCGTAGATCTGGAGCGAACCGCAACACGAACTCGGAATTTTCGTCATTCACATCCGCACCCTGTTCGAGTGCATACCTGACAACACTTTCTTTGCTGTGCCAGAGTCCCTCGTATAGGATGATCTGGGCAGCATCTTTGACGGTGAGATTCCGATCGGCACTTCCAAGGAAAGAGAACAGAGCCTTGAGCACGGGTAAATGACCGCGAGCCGCAGCAATCTTCAGAGGTCGTCGCAGCTTGAAGGCACCCGTGAATGCGAGAGCATCGCTGGAAAGTAACAACTCAACGACATTGACATGGCCATTTCCTGCAGCCTGTCTCAGTGGGGTTTCGTAGTGTTCATCCAACAAGTTGGGATTGACGCCTTTCTCAAGGAAAAGATTGACGCAAGACAGTGAGCCAAATTCGGCTGCTGCGGTCAATGGGTGTGATTTGGGGTGCCGTGGGATGACACTCAAAGACTCGGGTGCGTCGCGATCGATCAAATGAGACCTGAATCTATCTCGCCGTGGAATTTTGGCGCCAGCCTTCAGGCACTTGCGTATGGTGCCCTCCAGGCCTCGCTTAGCTGCCCATAGGATAATATAGCTGTGTTCCTGTGCTGAGCAGCTCTTGTATAGTTTCTCGTCGAACATGAGGGCGAAACGCGCGCTCGTGCGAATCAAGGCATTGCGGTCTTTTTGGGAATGCAGATTCTTCTCAATCATGAGAATGAGCTCTGTGGGTAGAATATCAAGCGACATGATCGCTGTCGCCAGAGGCAATGTCAAAGTACTGGGTGCTGAAGATGTGACAGTCGAGGGAAAGAGAATCGAGATGAAGGGTTTGTAACAAAGATGAAAGAAAGATTGGCTAGAAGAGTAAACAAGTTGCCAAGCAGAGAAAGGAATTCAAGATGAGACATGAGCAGGTGGGAGATGAGCACTTGAGGTTGAGGAAGAGAGAAGAAAGTTGAGTAGATGGGGATTTTGAGCAGATAAAGTGCGAGTGATAGTAAAGCCACAATCACAAGGAGGAAAATCAGATGAAGGTGGACAATGTATAGCAATTGAGGCTTGTTGCGTACCCAGGTGGCCTTGTTTGTCAGGCGTCTCCCACTTTCTATACCCAAGGTTGTCCTTGAGGCTGAATTGGCCGTAACCTACGATTTACCTAGAAATCAACTTGTTTATATTATTCCTATTAATAAACAATTAAGCATTGGAAACATTTGAGTCAAAGAGATATGTGCTATGAGTCGACCTTCTACCTTAGTCCTATTTAAATGAACTACTTTTGTTACCATTAGCAATTCAATAAGACCTTACTTATATAATACCTAGGGGTTAAGCCTTCGACTACTTTGCTAATACCGTGGATTGTTCGAGAATGTTATTCGCTAGCATATAATCCGTCGCCAGAGACCTTATCCGCCAGCGCTATTAATGCAATCTCCAAATCACCAGGTCCATCGACTTCAACATTCGTCCTAGCCTGATTACGAGGAAAGTATTGGTGTGAGTTGTGAATGCCACGAGAAGACTGGGTGTTACACAGCTCTATTCTTAGGGGATAAAAATTGCATTCGCCTGAGCAGTCAATCCTAGCCATAAATTCTCACTCGCCTGTTCCAGCTCTTTGGGTATATTCACGACATCACGGGTCACAAAGTCACCATGATAGTCAATCAAGGCGGCTTCCACCATTGACCGCAGTTCGGGATCTGCAGTAACGGCCCAAGCTGCCGAGAGACACATTATTACGTATCCTGCTCCAACTGGTCTGTAAACATTGGATTTCTGAGCATGTTCGAGAGTATCCTTAACAAGAGATCTCGATTCTACCATGCATGTATAGTCACTGGGATCCAGTGCCTGGAGAATGCAATTGAAAAATGTCGTGATTGCGAGACCAATTCCATGGGTGCGGAGATAATGTGCTCTCAAGATACGGCCCATAAAGGTTTCTGTCATAGTGAGCCCGGACTTTTCAAATTCGACTGTTCGTGCTTGCAATTCGCCCAGGATCAATTTGCATTTTTCGTATATTGGTCGGACTTCCATCGTCAATAGCATCAAATCTTCGCCATCGCGTATAGCTTGTTTGCCGCGTTTCATTAGAACCGGGGCTCGCGCTAGACATCGCAAAATCTGGCCTTCGGGTTGGTCTTGATCAAAGTCATTCTTGACTAAGGAATCCCACTCCTCGGAGCTCAGGTCGATAGCATCATTGTATAAGCCCTCGAATAACTTAGGTATATGATTAGCTTAGGCAAGAAAAGTGGTGGAGTCGTGTGTGGCCTACCACGCTTCCGCGTAAAGAGAGGAACAATTTACGCTCAAAGTCATCGCGTGGCCCAAAGTTCTTTCGCGCGTGCAGAATGCTGGCGGCCCCTTGCGCATGTCCTGATATCATTTGCCCGTTATTTCCGATAAATGTTTGGCAGACCAAAAGTATCATGACAGCACATAGTGTACTGGAAGCACTCGCCTGGACTGGGTGATCTAGATAGACTCTCAGGGTCTTGAGCGCGTATGAATACTTGGCTAGTGTCTCAGCCGAAACTGATTGACCAGTGCAGAAGCCTGCGTGGGCAGTGGTTACAGCGTCAACTGCGCGGTCGAGTGCTTCGTTGCTGCCGAGTCGTCGGGGTACATCTTCCAGGAAAGTGCCGAAAGCCCACCACATATTGTACCGGAGGTCAGTGGATCGTTTTATGGCGCCGACGAACGAATTGGTCAACGACATCATACTATTACTAGGACATGCCCGGGGTATTTCAAAAGAAAAAAATTCTTTTTCTGTTGATTTTGATCTTGATGTGAGAGTCATTTGACCGTTTCGATTTGATTTGGGGGAAAATTGTTGCTCTTTGAACTTGAATCGTTGCTGACCGGACCCCACACAGCTCACTTTCAGACGAAGACATCGTCCACACTCAGGTTGTTTCTCGTCGCACTTGGTATATTATTAGGATTAGCAACGTGTGCCATAGTCTTATGGCACGTACCTTTTTCTTCTGCTTGCGACACGCGTCACAGGCCCGACCTGTTGGGACACCCGGCATGGTGGGGTGAAGACCTGAGTGGAGAAGCGGAGCGTGGATCTCAAAACGAACACTGGAGGCTTTCAGTAGCGCGTCTATATTCAGTGCGGGACACGCCGTAGAGAGCTACAAAACCATAATATATTGCACTAAAAAAGGCTCTAAGCAACTAGGTTGAGGTTATTGCGGCTGCCCAGTCTAACCGCTTCGGGTCAAATGTACCGCTCCTCAAGGCTGAGTTGTACGTCGCTGATTGGCTGGTTTTATTGGCTATAAAAATGAGGCTGAATTGAATACAGCTCGGTCTAACCCGATATAGACCTATAGCGCTTCACGCTTCATCATGTGGAGCATCGCCATTTAGCCCGCCAAAAGCTACGGTATGTGTCCAGATGGTCTTACCGAGCGCATGGGCGAGAAATATATTCGATCGTCATATCTATCCTCGTGACATCCAATACTGCATCCTTATTTACAGCTTAGCTTGTTCGAGAGGGCTCAGCTTTCTCAAAGGAGGCCCTCCTCTGCTTCCATCACCTGCCATCGGCCCTTTCGAGTCACCACCCCCGGGCGGATTCATCCTCCACTTTTGGCGCAAAGCTTCGGGTGCTTTGTTCTCAAAGCAGTCCGCGATATACTGGCCCAGGATAGGGAGGAATTTGAATCCACTAAAACCAGGTTAGTTAGTATAAAGTCTTTACTGTGCAAAGTGATAGTTCCATCAACACTTACTGTCCTGCACCCCCAGTAGCCATGAATATGCCCTGGATGGTTGGGTGGTGGTCGATAATAAAGTCACCATTAGGGGTATCCGTGTACCAGCACAGTCGACGGTTCATCCAAGGGCGGTCCCCCAGCTTAGGGAAGAACTGACGCAAGCCCTTTCGCAGCGATTCATCGGCATCGTCGGGCAGATATCCAGTGGCCGCATTGCTGCTTTCGAGCTTCGGCGATGAGAGTGACTTCTGAACACCGTCCACATTGACAACGATATCAGTTGCATATCCGTAGCCGTGGCGTGCCATCTTGAGAACATTTGTGTCTGGTGTGGGCGGGAACGAGAAGACGCCAGAGCTCATGTTGATCATGACCGGGATCTTTCTCATCTCGAGAGCCTCCTCCTCGGTCAACTGAATGAAACCAACAGGCTGGCCAGAGGAAGATGCCGCATGACCCATGTTTACAAGACGGTTGGTCCACGCTCCGGTGCTCAAGATCACCTGTGAAGCAAGCAATACCTGCCCTCCAACAAGGTTGACACCAACAACGCGCGACCCCACCCTGCGCAGGGAGACAACAGTACCGCGAGGCCCGGCAATGATGGAAACGCCCGCGACAGTACACTTGGAAGCAAGCTTCTGAATACTGCCTGCGGCATCGGCCCATCCACCTTTCGGATTGTGATATCCGTTCATGCCGGAAAAGTCTGCTTGAACGCTAGGGTAAAGTTTGCGGATATCCATGGCGTCGTCGAGATCGTCTAATTTGCCACCTGCCGCCCGAATGATAGTCTTAGATTTCTCTATGTATGCATTCTTGGGCGTTTCCGAAAACATGGCGAATCCCGATTCAAAGTATTGATCTTTGTACTCGGTGGTCCATCCATTGTATGCTTCCCGGGCCATTCGAGAGTAGATTGGGTCGGCATAGTCAGCGCGAATAATGCGCGAGATGTCAACGCTGCTTCCATCTGCTGATGGTGGTACAAATCGATCGACGACGGTGATATCCGTATATCCGCGCTTGTTGAGTTCAAGAGCGGTCGAAAGACCGAAGACGCCGGCGCCCACGATCAGAATTGAGTCTGTCTTAGCTGTAGTCATTTTGAAGAACAGATTGACAGCCAGAGGAATTTTGTCAAATTGCAATCGGTTGGAGGATTTCCCAGGATTATAAAATGCAGAGGGTGTCGGTAAGGAAAGCCGGCTCAGTACCGTCTTGGCGTCCGGCAAAGTCGGATCCGGTCCGTGTTCCCCGGATCGGAGGTAGATAGATATGCATAGAATGTTTACATTCTAAACTCACGTTGGGTTAACGCTTAGCCAATCCTCAAACGCCCTCCCATAATCTTGAAGCTGCAGAAACAAAGTATCACCGCCGCTAAAGTCCATGTTGGGATCTCCCGGAAGCCCGGAAAAGTCCATCCTCGGTGAGGTCTGACTCGGCGTTTGTATAGGATCTTCAGTCTGCTCAGGTGGGTAGGTTACGCACTCGGGAGCCACTGTCTTGTGACCTGATATCCCAGCAGATCCAATCAAAGCAAAATCACGTTCGGTGATAGCGCCAGCCGAAGGATCCCCGGAGCATCCGACACTGTCTTTGGCAAGTTCCGGGCCAAAGATGTCACTAGCAGGATCTGATATATTGCTCGCATGGGCATATACTAAAATTTTCCACAATAACTGCAAGTTCACAGACCACTTCTGACGGGAATTGGTTCCTGCTGGGGCGGTGTTGTCTGTCATAAGGCCTCCAGGGGAAATGCTGTCCCGGAGTTGTTGGAGTTGTCGGACCTAGAAGTGACATCAGGACCGGTGTGCCAAAGAAACAGCCTGGAAAAAAAAACTAACCTGTCGATCAATGTGTGGCCACCGATAACTCATATTGCGTAGAAATCTAAGGCATTTCTCAAATCCCGTTTGCGCCTTTCTCTTAAAAGCTTGATCCTCGACAAAACTATGTTGAAGATAGATCGTAGCGACAATTGCCACACATTGCCCTAAAGTCGGATCAGATACCTCGAAGCTTTTGGCCTCGATAAGCTCAAGAAAATGAACAACCCAGCCCGAGTGGAAGGTCAGCTGCTCGAAAGAATTCCGGAGGAATGACTGAGGCATTGTCCTCCGGAAGTTCCGAAGTCGCATAGATAAAAGAAACGGATGGTTTACTAAACAAGGCACCGCGTGCCAAACCAACTGGAAGAATAGCCATGGGCTCCAATAGTCACGATGAGCCTGAAGTTCGGCGGGGGGATGGTCTTGGAACCGACTTGCATGAAGTCGGAACCTAAGTGGCATGAGACTCTCATGCTCACAGTGTCGGAAATTTATCATGGCGTACTCAGAATTTGGAGACCATGGGGGATGAGCGTCAACGCCGACATGGCTTGCGGCATAAATACATGCCATCGCCCACAGCTCGCTTGTGTAAACACTGCTACCATTGATGCCAATATCTGGCTTGGAGTCACAGCTGGTACCATAGGCGATCTCTTTGTTAAAAATCATGGTTGCCAATGGAGAGACGGTTTGACCAGGCTCTGCAAGTAAGTCCAAGCTATCTCCAGGTGGATATAGGGACCCCTGAAGGTTCCTAAGCATGACGAGGCTTACATGGCAGAGCTTCCGCTCATCGCGCTCAGTTTCCAAATTGCTTAGAGACTCCAGGCCATTTATTCTGAGGTTTCTCATCAAATATGTGGCAAGTGTGGTATAAGACCCCGCGCGAATGATATGACCCGCTGAACAGATGAAATACAATGTTAGGAATGGACACAAGGGCATGAGCCGGGATTGCTTTACCTGTGAACTCCAGCATACTTAGAAGGCATAGGGTCTGGATAGTAGATAGCTCCACAGTACCGGACGCCAAACGCATCATGACCATCTGAGAGGCCCTTTCTGTTTTTGTTTTGATCTCCAGTTGTATATCCTGGTCAATGATCCCTGGTCTTTTGAAGCGGACCCCAAGAGCTTCAATTGCGAGCAGAAGCTCGGGGTCCCGCTTCCCCAGGGAGACTAGAGAGGATCTGTGGGGGAATAACAGAAGGGGCTGTGCATTACAAAAGGTCAGATAAAGTTCAGCATCTGGGACCGCAGATGATCCAGCTCTATTTCATTCGTCAATGAAGGTCTCCTGCGAGTATATCCCAAGTTGAACTCACATAGAAGAGCTTGCCGGAGGTGGAAGCTCTGGTATCTGAGGGTTATTCTCGGGAACAACTGGCGAAGGGAGGTGATTTGAGGCAGGTCGCCTACGACTTCAATCAGCCAAATGGAACGAAACAGAACGGAAATTAGAACTGACGTGATATATTCCACCAACTGTTCCAATTTCCCCTCAATGCCGGAAATGCGTTGCTCCTATGCCACATTAGAATCTGCTTAGGTCTAGGCATCAATGCGACTTACCATCATCTTCTGCGAGTGCGCCAGGCCTTCATCTACAATCTCGGCGCCTGCATATACGCATTGTTGACCCAGTCGCTCGCAGTACGAGCAAATCGGTTTCTCCCCTGGGCAACGCGACTTTTTCCGGCTGCGGGAATGTCAGCTCCAATTGGCTCTCAGCTTAGGACACCCGAGGTTCAAGCTCACCGACATGGCTCACAAGCCTGACGGACTCGTTTTGATGGTCTTTCATCTTCAATTGAGGCCATTTTGCAAATCATGATAAAAAAAACTTTGACCTGAACTGTTCCACGCGGGTAAAACGACGATCCAAGGCGGGGAACGGCTGTGGGTCCGAAAACAATACATACCAAGTACAATATAGCCTCCCCAGCTTCTCTTCTATATTTCTCTATCTAGGCTCGATGGGCTTTGACTGTGAGAAGAAGAACAGAAACAAAACTCGAGGGCACAATTCAGTGGAAGATGTGTGGGTTTGGTTGAGATATCTTCGGGCACTGTCACAATAATCC